GGAGTGACGGCGGCATTCCTCAGACAACTATGTGCGACATCTGGTCTATGTAACTTACCTACTTCCCACCTCAGCGTCAGTTTCGATTTCCATCCCGGCCGTATTAGATCTTGTGCGTTGCTGCACACGTACCCCTGCTCTACCGTTCCTAAATAGAAAAGACTGATTTCGATTGAAGATTGGACACCCTGGTGTTGTGCCGACGAAATTTCTTCTAACCGTTTTTCTCTCCACTTCAGTTTCTTGATCTCCAATATGTCTTCATCGTGATTGAGCGCGTTATTAGCTAAATGTTGTTTGTTGTCTAGTGATTGTTGCACTAATCAGGTCGTTTGTTCTACCCTCTGCCTCCTGCCCTTTTTGACCTTCAGCCTTGTTCTCATTCGTTTGTTATTCTTTTGTACTTGAGCCCTCATTTGTCAACTGACCCGATGTCGGTAGGTCGGGTCCCATGCTGCTTTAGGCACGCTCTACATGTTTTCCTTCTCTTTGTCGGCTGGCGGCTCGGTTTGTGCGCGCATACACGCTATCAGACAAACAGGTGTACCAAAAGATCACGGCCATTCTGCAAAAACTAGTGTTTCCCAACTTGGCTGTACCATACACAACACACTGTATTAAATATGATTTTGATGACATGTTCTGTACCCTTGTGAAATGCCTTTCCACGTTGTATCTCTTCTCACCCTCACTTTTACCCATGCTTTAAACAGTAAGATATACCTATCCTGGTAAGACTATCTTTTTCGATGACATCCAGCATGTTGGGTTCGTTCACACCATTATGAACTGAGCTAAAATAATTGACCGTTACATTTATCGATGACGGTGTGAGGTTTGAATGTCATTAGAACTGATGACTGCGTTCCTCCTGCATCGGTGTGCAACATCTGCTCACATGCCACCGACATCCTCAAGCATCTCGAAATTAATCTTCAAGCCTCGACGCCCAATCTTTCTGGTCGCTTTCCATATCCTCACTATGAAGCAAGCAGGACAACAAGCTGCCTTTGCTCTCAAACTGGACTCGTTGGGCATTAATTTGTGTTGTGTCTCAGAAACAAAAGTTCAAAATGTAAGCACGGTGGCCGAGCTAACCACTCGCTTCCGGCTACACACCTCTGGTTATCCAGAGGCTGCTGCGGCGGGATATGGAGTGGTTGGTATCGTCTTAAGTCACCAGGCGGGAGTATCCTTACTTGACTGGACACCTGTTAATAGTCGCCCTGGTGCGGCTTGTCTGGGGCCTTCTGTGAGGGAGTCTCACAAGCGGGATCGGTTTATGATTGTCGCGTCTGCCTACGCCGCAACTGAGTGTAGCTCAGATCTTGTATTTGCCGAAGATGTGGATGCACAAGTGAGCAAGCTTAGCGTATCTGAGACTCAATTAGGAGGTCGACATGGATTGGATCCAAAAATCCCTAGTTTAAGTTTCCCTGACGTTCCATGCATTTTTCTGCGAGCTTCTGTATTGATGTTGGGTCAAATAGTGACTCCCAGAATACCTCTTTCGTCGTAGTGGCCGCTCTTCGTGGTCCGTGAGGCTACTTCCCCCGGGGTATACTAGTTCCTTTCTTTCTTCAGAATGTCATATACGTTGAATAACGCTCTAAAATTAGATACATCTTCATCCGATCTGAGTGTCTTCACAAGTAAAAATATTTCCTGCATTTGGAAGTAGAAGTGGATGCCTCTTCAATCGCATTATTTCCGCTGTCTGATTAGCTCAACGTCACGCGCAAAAATAGGACTGCATTATTGCACTACAGTCTATACAGATTCCTTTAGTCTGAAAGATACTGAGCTACTCCATTCAGTACCCGCTTTTAGGTACTGCCTATTGGGTGAGCCTCTAGAAAATCCGTCTAGGTCAACCTAACACTGCAGCATGTTGTTCGACCTGTTGTGAAGTATTTCTGATGAATAAAAGCGTACTTCTACATCCTGAATATTGGACCAATTTAGTTCAGTAGTAGCTTTTTCACTGTACTATCGTATATAACTCAGAACCAGCTGCTTGTTTGGGTCTCACTTGAACCCACCGTATGCACACGGCCAATCTGTTCAAATCTGTCTGAGTAGCCTTCCAGCGCATAGCCTGTGCAAGTTCGGTAAGTAGCTCACACACATTTAATCTAGGATATGGTAGCTGAACGTTTTCCCGCCGAACATAGGTGTCATAGGCACAGGATGAAGAACACACACTTCATCAAATGAAGCAAAGTCATATGGTCGCATGAAAAACATGTACGCAGTCGAACGCCAATCATGGAGCTCACCACTCCACCTTGACGCATGCATTACGGACACCGCATGAGTAACCCATCCAAGTGATCATCTCACTTACAAACAACAATCCTCTCAAATTTCGCCTAGGATTTCGTAACTGTACTCTTCTGTCAAAGGGCAAATCGGAGAGACCTAATCAAAAACCCGTCTAGTCGTCTTGATCATCGGTTTAGATGCTGGTCCGTTGCGATTGGACTAAGAGTTAGGGGGAAAGCGGTGATATAGCACGGTATGAATCTGATACACAAGACTACAGCCAATTGGAGCGGCCTCAGTGAAAACACAGTTCGACTGAGCATGCCTTAGAATCTCTGCAGTGCTCGACATGGTCAATTGCTTTCCACCTGTTATGAGTACACGTGGACAACATATTGGTGCTGTGTACAAGTCATCGCTTGACCCGGTTGGTACATTCTCTCTTGTTCCAATTTGCCTGGAATGGCCGCCCGGTAAGCTTTCCTAATCCACAAGCGATGAATTAGTACCACCCAGTGGTACTGACATCGACCAGTGTGGGTGTATGGCCATACTCTGAACTCATTTGAGTTCCCCATGTGTACCACGCTCGGAAAAAAACATTTGAACCTCACACTGATGGTTCGTCTTACACCATCAGAACCAATCACTGAACCACGTGGGTCAATATCGCAATTAGCACCCCTGCTCCTGAATTCATCACTCTTTCAGCTGAATTTGAGACGGCACAGTCACAATTCTGTTTGTCAGTTTATCTGTGATACTGCGCGCGTGTGAAATACTGGTACAACAATCACGTCGTATGCCAGATTTCCGGCCTGGTCAGGGATAGGTACTTCTGATGAGTTCCAATAAAAGCGAAGCTGGAGTCTTGCTTCCCCGCTTCAGTGTGAGCCGACAAGAACTGCACTACGACCGGAAGCGACGATGATGTGAACAGAAACTATACAGATTCGGCAAACGCCAACTAAATGAAATGTTAACGAAGTGGTTACTGTAAGTTGGATGAAGTCGAACAGCATTCTCTTTTGACACTTCAGATCGAAATGCCCTTCTTATGCACTATGTCGGTGGTGCGTAACCGTCCGTCTATGGATGAAACAGCCAGTATCCTTCCCAAAATATTATTCTAACAACTTTCACCATGAAAGGACAAGGTAGTATTCCAGCGACTTCCGTGAGAGCGGATGGCTTGAGCTCCGATGCGAAATACGAGCCGTGCGAAGTGAACTCGTGCAGCACATCTGGCCTACAAACCACAGTTCAACGACCGCCGGTCTCAGCCACCCCCTAACCACAAATATAGACTTCCGTTATAGAAACGTAAGTTCGCCATACCCTCCTCTAGGAATTCCTAATTACGTACGAACCTAATCACAATGATCAGGGCAAGTCGACTTCTACTCTATCATAGCTGAAGAGCAGTCAAAACAGGTAGTGCCAGACGGTAACACCTGTAGTGTACCCGCGAGATTTAAGTACGACTATCGACACCACAGTGGTCTCTCGAGAATGCAGAGACGTTTATAAGTCACAAGTATTTCAGCGGTCCACGAAATACGCATCTTCACATGACTCTTCGGTTTACTAAAATATGCCTTCGATGAAAATCCGAAGCAGTTGAGTCCACTGTATTCGACAGATTAACAAGGTTCCTCTAACCCACCACCACCGTAGTCCCTATCAAACTCGGTGCGACTGATACCGTAGGCGTGGAGTGTGCGGCGGGACAGTTCAACCATAGTACGCAACAATGACCTGCGGGTAAATAATGGGCATTGAGGAAACTGACCTACTATTATCAACGGTTCAAGCGTCTGAACACAGGTCACTGTGCACCATGCGAGCAGACATAGATTCACCATAAAAGGCAATACGGCAATGCCACAGGTGGCACCATAATCCATTGCCCGGTTGTTCACTCGGTGGGTACATCATACAGTTCACAGGATTTCCGACTTGAAATGAGAACCGGTTTCAGCAACCATTCGGATGTGATAAGCTCATTGGTTTGCAAATTTACGTGCCGTTCTTCCACACGAAAGTCGAGTACAACACGCCTGGGTGGTATCTGTCTAGAGTCGGTGAGGAGAATGTAATGGGAGATTGATAAGCGGTCCTTTTGAGTGGATCTTTTTACAGAGACCTAATGGGGAAAAGCCGCAGTCTGTTGTGGAAGGGCTTGACTGCAGAAACCAGTTAGAGTGAGTGCACCAGATTAATTCATCTGTGAGCCGTATGGTGGAGGTGAACCGTGAAACTTGGTGTCCTGCAATTCTGGTGAAACCGTATAGCAAAAAAATTAGTGCTGACTCTCCTTGTTCGGGAAGTTAACGAATTACTCGTCAGGTAGGACCAACGTTTGTCACCCAAGGCTATGTAAACAATTTTGAATGGTTCATCAAGTTTTGAAGTTTCTACTGATATGAAGACAGATTCAGTAATAGGCTGCAGTGACAGTTTGTCCGAACTCATGGGATACAAAAAAGTAACAGAGCTGAAATTACATCTGGTTGTACCGGTCAACGTGAAAATTGTAAAATCAAAGTTTCTACTAATGGAACCGATCGTCACAGCAAAACGGTACCTAAATCACGTTTTATCGATTGTTACAGTGAAGGTAAAAATAAACACATTGCTGAGTAACGGAGACTGGTACAGTTAGGTGACAATATTCCGTGGACGTCGCTTTGAATGGCATAGGATACATAGAAAAATAAGAAAGCATCATAGAAAACAGGTCAGACATCTGCAGATAGGTAAATTGAAACAGGCAGCGTGAAGGACGAATAATATGAAGAAAATAAGATTTGGAGACAGGAAATAGCTGGCTCAAGCAGAAATTCCATATGCAGTAAGTGGTATAACCCGGGATACAAAAGAATGGCAACGAAAGAAAGAATATTCATAGAGGTGGGAGTCAAATAGAAAAAGCGAATATTTTCCGGGCTAAAGATGGACACAGGAAGGCAAAACTGGCGAGGGTTCGTGCAAACATAAGTCGAGGTAAGGTGGGATAAGGTGGCCGAGGTTGAATAAGCGTGGTGTTTATACACGCAATGACATTATAGAGTAGTTTGCTCTCGATTATTCGGCGCACATCCATCAGGCCCAGGGCGAGTTGTCTGAAAAGGATAGAAACATGAGGGTATAGTATGAACAAATAGCAAAAAGTAACAGAGTTAAGGAGGGTGTATAAAGTGAACTGACCACGGACGACATTCGGCAATGCGACGACGGCAAAGCTAAGGCGATTTGGACAACATCGGGCGCGTATGCAAGTGAGCAGCTATCTCAACCAGTACAGGGGTTTGAAGATGAAGTCTATCCCAGCAACATCTAGCGAAGAAGTGATTAGCTGTTTCAAGCACCACTACTCGGTTCGTTGTGACTGAGAAAATCCGTACACAGCCTCTAGCTGGGACATGATAAATGAATACACTAACGCAAGTCAGTCAAAAAGAAGCTGGCTGCCAGTGGTCTTGCAAAAAGGAAGGGTGATGAAACCAACACAGCCAATATTTAGTTGGTTTGTAGAATCATGGAGTTCCCTATTTGCCTTGGCCCGGCGTTTTCAAGGAGTTGGGACAAAACACCATCATAATACTAACGATAACACCTGACTAACGATCCCATACTAGCTTATACGAATATAAAAATCAAATTAGACGGTTGAGTCAGTGAGGTGAAAATGAGTGGGCGTATAATAACTCTGCCTGTTCAAGCGGTAGAAATGAGACAACCGCTTCCTTAGAACCATAGGTCGTGTGGGTTGGTGTCGCTGAATCAGTGAAGAGGCCATTAGAAAGCGTGTTCGGCTGTGCGACACGGACTTTCACCGAAGGTGTTCAGAAGCTGCATCAGTTAGGTCATATATTGTGAATGTCGAACTATCGTTTGCCGATCAGTGCTGTTTACCGTGCCCATTTCAGAGAGGCAGAAACAGAGTTGGCCAACCGTTGGTTTGGAACAGGGACAAGACAGATATTACGAAAAGTCTGGATGTTGTCGGTGCGATACGCCTTCCAAGATGGGGACTGCGTGAACCCCACTGCGCCTGATTGGGGACACTGCAAGATATGACTGCTAATAGATGTCAGTGTCGTTCTCGTTGTCAGTATCTATCCAGACTGCCTGAATAAGCGTCTGGCGTTGTAGGCACCTCGAAATGACTGTGGTAGTCCTTTCTTTGTTCCAAATAAGACTTTCAACTAAATCATGGTTGTACGGCAGTGAAGCATCAGTGTTGAACACTGATGTTATACTGTAGATGATGATGATGATGATGATAACTCCTAGCTATCTTCCTAAAGACGGTTAATTACCTTCAGCATGCTTCCGCGCACCCTCACAGCAATGATCCGGCCATGCACATGAGAAAGTGATGGTGAAAGTAGCACCAACTCGTCAGAAAAAGCACACGACTGTTTAATCGGATCAAACAACAGAGCCCATTTTCAGCGTAACGAAGTGCAAGGGGCAAACAGGACTCGCCTGGACTTTTGAGCACCATAGCAGAGCTACTACCAGTTTTTCAGACGCGATTATCATTTGACGGCCCACGCCGTCAGCCGGTTGTGCAGAAACCCACGGTTCAAGCGTCTGAACACAGGTCACTGTGCACCATGCGAGCAGACATAGATTCACCATAAAAGGCAATACGGCAATGCCACAGGTGGCACCATAATCCATTGCCCGGTTGTTCACTCGGTGGGTACATCATACAGTTCACAGGATTTCCGACTTGAAATGAGAACCGGTTTCAGCAACCATTCGGATGTGATAAGCTCATTGGTTTGCAAATTTACGTGCCGTTCTTCCACACGAAAGTCGAGTACAACACGCCTGGGTGGTATCTGTCTAGAGTCGGTGGGGGGAATGTAATGGGAGATTGATAAGCGGTCCTTTTGAGTGGATCTTTTTACAGAGACCTAATGGGGAAAAGCCGCAGTCTGTTGTGGAAGGGCTTGACTGCAGAAACCAGTTAGGGTGAGTGCACCAGATTAATTCATCTGTGAGCCGTATGGTGGAGGTGAACCGTGAAACTTGGTGGCCTGCAAATCTGGTGAAACCGTATAGCAGAAAAATTAGTGCTGACTCTCCTTGTTCGGGAAGTTAACGAATTACTCGTCAGGTAGGACCAACGTCTGTCACCCAAGGCTATGTAAACAATTTTGAATGGTTCATCAAGTTTTGAAATTTCTACTGATATGAAGACAGATTCAGTAATAGGCTGCAGTGACAGTTTGTCCGAACTCATGGGATACAAAAAAGTAACAGAGCTGAAATTACATCTGGTTGTACCGGTCAACGTGAAAATTGTAAAATCAAAGTTTCTACTAATGGAACCGATCGTCACAGCAAAACGGTACCTAAATCACGTTTTATCGATTGTTACAGTGAAGGTAAAAATAAACACATTGCTGAGTAACGGAGACTGGTACAGTTAGGTGACAATATTCCGTGGACGTCGCTTTGAATGGCATAGGATACATAGAAAAATAAGAAAGCATCATAGAAAACAGGTCAGACATCTGCAGATAGGTAAATTGAAACAGGCAGCGTGAAGGACGAATAATATGACGAAAATAAGATTTGAAGACAGGAAATAGCAGAAATTCCATATGCAGTAGGTGGTACAACCCGGGATACAAAAGAATGGCAACGAAAGAAAGAATATTCATAGAGGTGGGAGTCAAATAGAAAAAGCGAATATTTTCCGGGCTAAAGATGGACACAGGAAGGCAAAACTGGCGAGGGTTCGTGCAAACATAAGTCGAGGTAAGGTGGGATAAGGTGGCCGAGGTTGAATAAGCGTGGTGTTTATACACGCAATGACATTATAGAGTAGTTTGCTCTCGATTATTCGGCGCACATCCATCAGGCCCAGGGCGAGTTGTCTGAAAAGGATAGAAACATGAGGGTATAGTATGAACAAATAGCAAAAAGTAACAGAGTTAAGGAGGGTGTATAAAGTGAACTGACCACGGACGACATTCGGCAATGCGACGACGGCAAAGCTAAGGCGATTTGGACAACATCGGGCGCGTATGCAAGTGAGCAGCTATCTCAACCAGTACAGGGGTTTGAAGATGAAGTCTATCCCAGCAACATCTAGCGAAGAAGTGATTAGCTGTTTCAAGCACCACTACTCGGTTCGTTGTGGCTGAGAAAATCCGTACACAGCGCTGGGATGGGACATGATAAATGAATACACTAACGCAAGTCAGTCAAAAAGAAGCTGGCTGCCAGTGGTCTTGCAAAAAGGAAGGGTAACCAACACATGTTCAAGCGGTAGAAATGAGACAACCGCTTCCTTAGAACCATAGGTCGTGTGGGTTGGTGTCGCTGAATCAGTGAAGAGGCCATTAGAAAGCGTGTTCGGCTGTGCGACACGGACTTTCACCGAAGGTGTTCAGAAGCTGCATCAGTTAGGTCATATATTGTGAATGTCGAACTATCGTTTGCCGATCAGTGCTGTTTACCGTGCCCATTTCAGAGAGGCAGAAACAGAGTTGGCCAACCGTTGGTTTGGAACAGGGACAAGACAGATATTACGAAAAGTCTGGATGTTGTCGGTGCGATACGCCTTCCAAGATGGGGACTGCGTGAACCCCACTGCGCCTGATTGGGGACACTGCAAGATATGACTGCTAATAGATGTCAGTGTCGTTCTCGTTGTCAGTATCTATCCAGACTGCCTGAATAAGCGTCTGGCGTTGTAGGCACCTCGAAATGACTGTGGTAGTCCTTTCTTTGTTCCAAATAAGACTTTCAACTAAATCATGGTTGTACGGCAGTGAAGCATCAGTGTTGAACACTGATGTTATACTGTAGATGATGATGATGATGATGATAACTCCTAGCTATCTTCCTAAAGACGGTTAATTACCTTCAGCATGCTTCCGCGCACCCTCACAGCAATGATCCGGCCATGCACATGAGAAAGTGATGGTGAAAGTAGCACCAACTCGTCAGAAAAAGCACACGACTGTTTAATCGGATCAAACAACAGAGCCCATTTTCAGCGTAACGAAGTGCAAGGGGCAAACAGGACTCGCCTGGACTTTTGAGCACCATAGCAGAGCTACTACCAGTTTTTCAGACGCGATTATCATTTGACGGCCCACGCCGTCAGCCGGTTGTGCAGAAACCCAAATGTGCGACGAAATCGTTGTTTCACTACCCTTCAGCCACATGCTTACTTGAGAAAAGCCTGGATTGGTGAAACGTGCGTTTGCACCACTTAGTTGAACAAACTGAATAGCAACTGACAACACAAACACCATCTAGATCACATCGCGGACCCATTTCTTTGCTTGGTCAATCAGTTTGTCTCTAAATCAATTGTGCATTTGCACGTTCCAGCAGCCGTGCCCAAACAGCGATTAGAATGCTGACATCATTTGGGTGTGCAACAGACCGAAGAAGTTTCATCGAAGGGCGTGGGTCAGATTCAGACCCAGCCACTCAGCTCAGGGTAACAGTGTGGCCAAACAGTAAGGGAAGGGACATCCTCATATTTAGAAACTAAACACTATCAAATTTATTTGGCTGATCAACAGCCTACATCGGGAATTCAGCAAGATACTCAGGTGCTCACGTGGCAAACTGATTCACCTCTCTGTTTCATCCGTTTATTTGACACGACTGTTTGGTGTTCTCAAGAGACTACGTGACTTACGGCAAGTCAATATCAAAAAGGAAAATCAGTTGAAACTTATCATTCCTAAAACGTAGGGATAATGGAGCGTAAATACGATCAGTTGGTTGCGTGCCTTTTTGCCAACCAGAACGAGTGGGCAAAAGGTTGTACGAGAAACAGTAAGTGAACGAACCTGCTCGATGTTCACTGGTATCGATAGGGGTTGGTCAAGATCCACGACGTAGTTTGTAATTGAAGGTCGGAACAGCAGTTCGTTCATGCTTGATGGACCAGTCAACGATCCTCGAGCACCGACTGGCCAGGATTGTTCATCCGCTATCTTCCATCCACGCAAGAGACTGGAAAGTGAACCGCACAACAGTGTGTTAACCGGTTGAGACATGATTACACCTGTGGCAGGTTAGACCATCCGAACTCCATGAAAACCAGTGCTCTGGATTAAAAGCGAATCAAATGAACCCACAACAGTTCTGTTAGCGATCAGAAGGCTCAAATTTCGGAAGGCCTACTTGTATATGTAAATACGTTTTAACTCTGTACTAAGGTTGTCTGGACATAGCACGAACAGAAATCCTACTGCTAACGACTCGACTATCTGACTGACGACAGGGTATCCGACATGAACTGGTCAGCCACTAGACGGTGTCATTGAACGCTGCCAGAAGGAACAAAGCTTCAGAGAACTGGAAAGTTCGAAAACAAAGCCACAGGGACATTGGGATTTTGAACACATCCGATACGAAACCTGTGGGACAACTGGCCACATTTCGTCTCACACAGTGTTTTTAAATTCAATGGCAATAAACACAAGAGACTCGAAAACCATGAGGTCTACATTCTAGGTATTGATTACACTATTTTAGCTAAAGACAGTTGTCGGAAGGGAGTATTGGTCAATATGCAATGGTGCCACCAATATGCAATAGGCCCCCGCGAACTGAGACGGCATTCTCGACCACATGAGGAAAAGCCTGGTAAGCTACCAAACTATTCTGGAGGTTCATGACGTTCAAATAGGCTGAAAAACTGCTACCAGTTATCCCTCGAACTACAAACAACCAGAAAATTCTCCGTGCTGCCACGCAGAAAATTGCTCATTTCGCTTCCGTCACTGTTCTTCCCTGATGAGGCTGAATTACCTAGTGAGCTCATTCCGAACATCCCTGAGCTGGCACTCTTTTACCTCTTCGTCCGGATGGGCAAGATATTCGGCATTGGCGTTGTTCTTTTCATTAACCAGATGTCTCACATGCTGGTTGTTTTCTTTAAACCAGTCCGGGAGCCTCAAGCGGGATGCTTCAAGTGATGCCATGTTTCTGCTACTGGACTTAAAGCATCAAAGATCGTCAGTTCGGACGTTATATGGTGCCGGCACATCAACCTGATATTCTGGTCTTTCATACATTTTTATTCAACCGTTATGCATTCACCGATTCTTTCGCTGTAGTGTAGCCTCCAAAGCTGGGTGTTAGACTTTGTCGAAACCTCGCATCGCTCGTGTGATGCATATCTCTCAAATGTCTCGCTGGCGAATAGTAACGTAGTCCAGAAAGCTACTAGCATAGCTACATTTGTGCAGATACCTGATTGTTCTGGGCGTCCAATAGACTGGGTGTATTTTCTGTGGCGGTTCTATTAAGGTCACGGATCCAGATCCGTAACTGAACCGATGCACAACCGTTATCTCACTGCTAGTCTCTCGGCTCAACTGATTTATTTTGGTTGCACGTCAGTTGCGAATCGGAATAGTGACACACCTGAATGATCTGGTTTGCCTAAAAAAATAAAAAGTTCACAAGATCACGAGGAACACCCTGCTTATTAGGTGGGCTTCGGATAGATCGACCGACAAATAAAATACATTCTTCGCCGGAAAGGACACACCAAAATCCTGAACTAAGGCAATGACTGTAATTCTAAGTAAATCCGCTAAGCATGTGATGTAGATTTCACTGAGAATAGGAGCACATTGGAACACAGATTAGGGGAGGATGGGTTTGGTGTCAAGGTAAGACAGATAATACAAGAGAAGAACAGTCAAATTTCAGGAGACGAGGCTAATCAAGCCAATACAATCAGAACAAAACAATCGAGAGATGCGGATGTCCAGTGCATTACCGACAGACCTACCTCGGTTGAAGAGGGCCAAACAAGATGTAGACAAAATTCAAGCACCCGTTCTTTCGTGAAAACGGATTCCTGTGACCAGCTTGGCGAAGAATGCGCGGGAAATGCCGTATCTGCAAAAAAAATAATACAACAAATGTTACGGTTGAAAGGCAAAGCAAATATAGGTGGCAGCGGTCGTAGTCCGGGGGAGAGAAACGCAGCGTCCAGTAGCTTATTAAACTATATTAAACAAGTATAGCTGTTGTCGCAAATGAGGCTACTGACTCGGGATTAGTTGTAATCTCAAAATTATTTTTCACACAACTCATTTTGCGGACACGGCTGTTCTCAAGACATATCAGGCAACAACTCTGCAGAACAATCATTCGGAAAGGTACAGTAGGTCTAGCTGAATCAATTACATTACCGAGATTTTTAGCTTTGTAACTAGAAAATCAAGTACTAGGACTGATAAAGATATAGGTTACACACACACGGAAAGTACCAATTGCTAATGATAACGTCTTGGAGCAGTTATATCGTTGAACCGCATAGTTGCAGTTACCGGTTAGGAAGTGTGAGGTAAACAGTGGCTTTCATGAACACTGCAAAGAAAGAACCTGACGATTGCGACTGCGGTTCTAGGCATAAGTTAGGTCCAAAGGAGCGGTTGGGGAAACTGTAAACATGCATAAATTCTTCAGATTAAAAACAGCCCGTATACAAGCCCCATGTTGCCGGGCACGCTGGTCACAGGCCAAGGCCGGTCCAGTAAGTAAATCCTGCATGTTTGTTTGGTAAATTGTCACCTAACTCTGTGATTTGACGACTAAATGCTAGGTATCGGCAGGAGTTGTAAAAGCGGAATATTGCCCTCTGTTGCATAGGAGCATTACTTGGTGCAACGTGTTTGCACCTATATTCGGAAGTCCTGTCGAACTATCTACAAGAGATCAGATGGATTGTAGGTTACAGATGAGTCGAGAGTAGGTCACGTGTATCTGGCAGTTACGACATGAGTAATGTATACATGTCATCACGACACGGCGAAATATGGATTGATGGGTAATAACATCACTAGTTCCCGCTTGTTTTGGTTAGTTTGGATGTACAACAGCTCGGCCTAGGAACAGTAGAAACCCAATCAAATAGGCGACTCATCCGAAATGTATTTCCCCGTACTTTATCCCGGCCAGAATTTATGAAGGGGCACCCTTGACATCGGGTCCACAGGCGGCCCGTTGATCACAGAAGAAATCGTAGAATTTGAGTCCAATAGTCTACGAATCCCAGCAACACAGACAGCACTGATAACTTTCGTGTTCCTGTTCGTTCCCAACTGTCGGGGCATAGGCTTTTCTCTTATTATTATGCATGGATGAATAAGACATGGAATACGATTCATGGCATAAAATGACTAAGTGGGTGCGATATGCCATGATGTCTGCCTCTCACAAGCTTTCCGCTGACTTCTCGGTGGGTTCATTTACAAGCCGAACCCAATTATGTTTGAGACATTGGTTATCAAAAGCCAGAATGTGTCTTACCATATTCTGCTCACAGAAACGGTGCGCTGTAAATGCATAACCAAAAAAGGAGAACACCGTTTCCCAGGACCTTTTTCAATCTAAAGATACACCATTCTGTAGTGGTAGCAAGAGAACCAAAGAATCATTAGCAGTGTGGGGCTTTTAACCATTCTGTAGTGGTAGCAAGAGAACCAACGAATCATTAGCAGTGACATTACGGCATAAAAACGAGCGCTAAAGCAGGAATCGTCCTTCACGGCTTTCAATACATGACTCCGAAGTACACAGGTAACCTCCCAAAAATGACTGTGCCTGTTTTGAGGAAATTGGATGGTAAGCGAGGGTGTCGGTAGAACGAATTTAACTGCCTTGTAGGCCTTATCCTCAAATTATTGACAAAGTTTCACCACCGGAAACGAGAGACATAAAATAGAGGGAGAAAACAGTTTCCAATGGCTATCAGTTTGAATACAACGCTGAATATTTGTCTATGTTTTACAAATGGAATGAGTTTTTCCAATACCGATCTCCTGAAGTTTCCAAATTTACAGAACCATGAAGACAAGCTCAGTCGCTTTTGTTCATTCTTCACATTCGACTTCACTGAGTTTTCAGGCTCTTAACTTTTTCTCCACAACAATCGAACAGGATTTCTAAAGCCGACTTGTGTAGGCTGCCAGGTAAAAGCCGGACCACCGCTGTGTTTCCGACGCTCTGAAGTGGGCGGGGTAAACAGCACCCATTGGAAGACGATGGTTTGGCATTAGAGATACATGCAATGCAGATTCTGATGGTGGAAACATTTCTTGATGAAACTCCCCACTGCACAACCAAACACTCGCTTTCTAATGGCATTGTTACCGATTCGGTGACGCCCACCTACACGATACATGGCTCTGAGATAATGGTCATCGAAGACCTGAACACGCCTTAGTTCCGCTGTTTGAATGCCGATATGACTGGAGTATAGTGCAGCTACACACCATGCACAATCACTCCAGCCGTCGTAGTCTTTTACCATCATCTCCACGTTCAGAGGACATAGACAGCATCTTAACGCTAAAAGGAATATCCTATATCAGTATGTTACCAATGGACGTTAACAGGTATCAGAATCACTTATGCTACAAAAAATGATGGGATAAGAGAAGCAAGACAGAGTGAGCCGATTGGATCGACAGCCACCAGCTGGTCATAAGTAAGCGGTAGGTCGGCTGATCCGTAGTTCTTATGTTTACTAATTGTCTGACTGCCTTTAGCGTTTTTTATTTGGGAGTATAGGCTACATCGATTGAAACACGAGTGATTTAAGTGGGAACAACAGAACCTACACCGCTCCAGACGGTTTGGGCTGTACTGTACTTAATGGTAACCGATAGGACGAGGCTTGGAATCTGACGTTAGTTGAGTCAGGTGGCTGACCTGTACTCATTGTGGTGGGCAACAGTCCTACCATCACACCACACTGTGAGAGGCATCGCTGGGTCAATCACAACCCACCCCAGTCTAAGATGTCTGCATCCTGATTGGAGGCATTTCGGCTTTGCTGGAGCATTTCATATGAAACGTAGAAAAGTCGCTTGGAAGTAGGTGAGTATTATCTCTAACATTTCTCGGCTTCTGACGGGTACCCCTACTGACATTTATTTAAAGCCAGATAGATAAAATAGAGATACATCGCACCCTGACCTACGAGCTCTACTGCGGCTGTTGATTTGCCAACCTAGATATCAGTGGCGTCGTCCACCACAGCACGAACGCAATATTCAGACTACATGAGACTATGTTCTTTATCTTATCCAATGTGCAATCCTGTGGAAAGCCAATCGCTCATTCGTATTGTCATTCGTCAGAACAACGGTTGAACAGGGCGAAAAAAAACATCGCCTCAAATGTGGGCTGAATACGAAAAAAGCTAATATAAAGTCACATCCCGTCATTAAAAAAGAAACTTACGTCTTCGTGGGTGGATAATTCACGACAGACCAACATTGTGTGGTAACCAGAGAGTCCAAAGACGGTTAGAATAGTAAAAAATGTTACAAGTATCTCCAACAACGTAAAAACCGATCAATCAGCAACACGATTCGAGTTAAGGAATAAGGTGACTGACACATATGACTGAATAAACGATACACATCCACTCGGAATATTTCTCGGCTTCAGCCGGTTCGATTAAAAATTCGCAGACTGTTGCCCGCAATAGCACCCGATTTTCGTATAAAAATAGCAATCTGATATCGGTGAATTACCAAATACACACGTGCTTGACCTGAATCTCCCACCCGCAATGCAAATACGATAAATCACATGAGTCGTCACAGAATGAAAAAGCACAAGAAATTCAAAAGAGATACGGAGAACGAATTCATCTGCATGCGCTGAGGTGTGAACTCTGAAAGTATTACCTAACTGGGTAAGCATTGTGCAGTCAAACGTAAAAATAAGCACTGAGGTAAGATGAAGAAATCGGAAAACTGCGCCGAAGAGATCAGCAAAAATACATCGCTATGTACGAGTCTCATTATAAGAAGCTGCAGCTAGGTCGTTCGCGGGGGTGGGAAGAGGATCCGGAGATTCATACGGAAAGTTGGAGTGATGAGCATTCACATTAGGTTGCAGTACGAGCAACAGAAGCTGGAACAAGCCCATATAAAATAGGTGACTGTAATGCTCGGCGTTCGGTAGGCTAAAACAAATACCACTATACTTGCAGATAAAAAAATTTGGAGGACGTCGCTTGATATTCTATCATATTTTGAAACTTGATTCCAAGGGCCAGATAGAGATGCGATGGTCCATCTCGATAAAAAAGAGCAGTAAATCTAGAGGCAAGATACACGTCAAACACCATGATAAATGAGAAGACTAAGCGCAGGCGTAACCTACACAAAGGACCGGTTCAGGTCACCTGAGAGTTTATCCCTGACTACTCCACCGTGAACGGTCTCGCAGCGGTAATAAATGAAACGTTACCGAACAATCGATGATAATGAAGACTAGTTACAAGGTTGCTGAAAACTCTCCAGCAGCTCACTACTACACCCTTCTTGGGGCTCATTGTCAACCTGATGTCCTGCTTGAATCCCAAATGCTCGAAAACTGCTAACCAATTTGGTTTTAATGGGGTACTCACAGGAAACCCAGCTGAATCCCTCATTTATGATATCCCTCAACTAAAAGTGCTGCACAAAGATCACTCCACGTTATGGTTGGCACAGTATTCGAGATATCAAGAATGGTCCAGTAGGGTTCAAAGCATCTGTGGCGCTATCAGACTCGGAAGTGATGACAAACGGGTTAGTCCATCGACAGAACCAAGATAATGAGCCGTCGTTCAAGGCATTGGACAAAGGAATCATATCGTTCAAAGGTGAGCACGTTCGCCTGATCAGACATGAATATTCAGATGTATCTAGTGTGCGGTAAAACTCTCGTCTCGTACAACAGATGTCCAGAGTAGAAATCCCCAGCATGGCCAGGAATAAACCATAATAAGGGTAAACCTCGAGCCCTGTTCGCCCTTCGGTGTGGACTGACCAGAATAATTACACCAGAACATGAGGATGACTGTTCAAACGAGAGTGATGTGAACGTAGTTTCAAAGATAATGAGCCATCGTTCAAGGCATTGGACAAAGGAATCATATCGTTCAAAGGTGAGCACGTTCGCCTGATCAGACATGAATATTCAGATGTATCTAGTGTGCGGTAAAACTCTCGTCTCGTACAACAGATGTCCAGAGTAGAAATCCCCAGCATGGCCAGGAATAAACCATAATAAGGGTAAACCTCGAGCCCTGTTCGCCCTTCGGTGTGGACTGACCAGAATAATTACACCAGAACATGAGGATGACTGTTCAAACGAGAGTGATGTGAACGTGAGTTTCAAAGATCCCACAACCACCAACGACTACTGCTGCGATCTCTCGAGTATCGTACAAATTCATATATGAGGCAATATTGGGCAGCATATTCAGTTGAAGTATAGCATAAACAAGAGACCCAGCTGGGATTCAGGTGTCTCCCGTGAAAACCAAATTAGCGTGCAAATGAGTGTCTGCAGAAAGTGATGCAACTGACCTCATTAGATCAGAACTTCCGAATCCTAACACTACGGGACAGAGTAATGCTGCACTCTTATGAAATTATCTCACCAACTTATTGGGTTACACCTGTATGATCACACAGGCATCGGAAGTGCCATGTGCAGTTATGCGCAATATTTTCAGGACCCTCAAAGTGGATGAAAAAGCAGAGGTACTCATGCCACCAATAAAAGAATGGGAAGATAACCCAATGGAGAAGACCCAAATGGTCGTAATCGTAGTGAGTTTTGGCCACCCGAGATTGTCGCTGCAGTTCTTAGTACATAGACGCGCCCGAACATGCAACTGCATTTAAGTGACCACTATAAGGTTTGCTCCAACGCATCAGCTCCTTAGCCCCGGATCGAGTGCCCTCCCGAGTGGTTTGTTCCCTCCGAAAGTGGCAAAAGTCTATCGGATCGGATATGAATGAGCTCCCAAGGACAAGAAGTCCCTCGGAACATGCTAAAGAACTGAAATGGGGCAACGCGTAGAAACCCTAACGAAACCCGATTGCTTGGGACTGCCAAACTGTATTCGTAGTATGTATGAAGAGAGTCAATTCATACATAACACAGTACAGCGGTCAAAGCAAAACAACAAAGATTGTCGCAGAGAGCTCGCAACAGTCAGTGTTCCTCATAGGACACCCCGGAGCACGTGGCAACTTATTATCCTTCCAAGATGGCCTATTTTTGGAAATCAGTGTAGATGCTGTGCACCAAAGGCTGTATCTGTTCGACGCAACCACAAATTCATAACTACCGTCATTCAATCGACTGGGTTGGGCTCATATGACTATTAGGCCACCTGCATTGTATTATAATCACACACACCTATGAATTAGAGGTCAGAGCAATCTCCAAATGTAAGCTCTGGAATGCCTAACGGATGACCCTTATAAGGAGTTATCAGTCTAAACTGACGTAGCCTCAATGTAGGCCGTATGAATTTTCACACATACTAGGCAATATAAAGCTATAAAATCCTCAAAGACCTAAGGAAAGAATGCACCGGAACGAAGGCAGTAGGGTGTACGTACATATAACGAAACAATAACTAACAAACCCTAAGTGAAATGCGAGCACAAAGTATGACAGCTGGATGTGAAAACAGGTATTCGTTCAAAAATAAGTGAAGAACGGAATAGAATATGCGACGATTCGAGTGCCTTGTGTAAAAAGTGCAGGAAGTCAAAGGGGCTGTTAACGGAGTTCGCAAAGTGACGGAACGCCAATCATCTGGAACCCATATTGTAAATCAACGACAAGTAGGAGATCGGAAACTTGCGTGCGTGGTTATTGGCAGCATAAGCCAAAAAAAGTAGGACCGATAAGCTTGCATTCAGAAGCCGTGAAAAATCTGCCAGCTCAGGTTCCCTCAGTACTTACTATGAGTCTAACACAACCACGATTAGGTTTCTGTCCTTAGGAAAAGTCACACATGACAGTTCACAATAACGAGAAAAGGATATGATCCCGGGGAGCGTTTGACCACGACCAGTAGATCCTGGGTTTCTTTATACACTGTACAGAAGAGAGGAACAAGCGCCCATTTTATGATAAAGGAAATGGATGCTGCGTATCTTCTCTGCCTATGAAGAACGATGTGCAGCAGACCTCCGATACAATGCAAATCTAAGGTCAGCCATGAAAAGTACAGAAAGATTCCGCAAGTAAAGAAACCACACAACGTTCATGCAGCCAACATTAGTTGTGAATAATAGGCTTGCCAGAATTTTTTTTCACAAACCCCTACCCAAATGAACCGTGAAATGCGAATACAACATGCAGTCAGTACCCTGTCAAAGTGATATGTCATTGGCAACCAATGTCAGTTAACGATAGGTGTATGGGTTTGCCAATCAAGCAGCCTATGTCGTATGACCTCAAGTCTTAGGTTTGTGCCAAGTGATCACAGGCGCGTGGAACGGGGCCGACGAATGCACTGCCTATTTATCAAGAGAACAGAGCTCTGGCTACTGGGTTTGAGAAGCAAGGGTTGAAGTCGCAGAGTGGGTGTTAACCGGCTTCTAGGATGACGTCCACACAACCTTCCGAATCCCTGACAATTCAAGATATGAATGTAACTGTGTATAAACGGCATTTTCGACGTCAGGTTCATCCAGCATTATCTGCTTGGAGTTTAGTTAAATTGGGATGTTTGAGGTAATTTGAGTGGGGAATAAATTTCAAACAGATTGATACGGTGCGGATACGGACAGCAATACCATGCAGGCCGGTAAACCTAACAGAACCCCATCCACTCAAAGTGCGAAGCCCTTCAGTGCAGACTCTGGTTAGAATTTTCATCACGAACTCTGATGCGGCTACAGTAGGGGCACCAGAGAATCAGTCACAGACTGTAAGGACCCAAAAAATATAAACAGTGGATTGCTCAAATAGCCCATAAAGGGCCAGTTTTCCCGGTCCGTTCGCCGCGCCTCTCACAGTCCACTTCAGGAAAACCAATTCTGGTTCGTCTCACAAGGAAGATGTTAGGGTTTAGCGACGTAGAGGCATCTTTCTTCCACACTGGGTGGAACCCGAAGTTTTCTGAGCAGACCACTAATACGTTGTAGTAAACCTGTCTCACTGAAGGCAATTTGGATGTTTATTTTTTGGAAAACCATCATAGTCATCATTGACAGCAACACCGGATGAGAATACTGGTGCTTCACTACTGCTTAACAATGTCAATTAGCTCTGTAATGAAGAGGAAAACAAGATGAATGGAAACAAAAACGAAGTGGACATTGTTGTGAGAAACTAGTGCCTGCAGGAAAGCTTTTGGAGAACCCCACATACACCCATAATTACGCGAATACAAAGAGCGCACGATATTCCCGAACTTTTGGTGCATAGCATGTTGCGCAAGCATGATGAAAAGAATCAACCGGTCGACAGAATCGAAAATACTTTTGAAGTTAAGGGACACCAAAACTGTAGGACGGCCAGATACTTGTCGTTGCTCCATCGCTTGACGCAGTGTGAAGATGTGGTCCACAGAGCCCTTCAGCGTTTGGAATCTCGCTTGGTTTTCGGGTACCGTAAAACAACATAAACAAGCGAGGCGAACAGCCTGGTTACAACCGGAGTCAGTCTAATTCCTATGTGATTGTCACACCCACTGCAAGCACCACTTTCGAAAATGGGCCTAGGTGGTTCGGACGATCTCTTTCGCCCTAATAGAGGCACACTAGTAAGACACGCAACAACTGAGGATTTCACCACTATCTTTGAACAGAGCGGGTGGAACGAACAACTCGGTGATACTTGAGAGACAAAAGGCATTTGCTTAGTCCCGAAGCCGTAGGAGTTTCTAAATTCACTGTCCAGAGCTGCACTGTGGGTCGGGGACCTAACTGAACAGGTGCAGGTGGCCAGTTAACTTGTTGCTCAATGTTTCCGAAAGACCAGTACTTAGAGTAAACTTGGACACCTCTGTTTCCCTTGAAAATGGGTTCTCAACAAAAACTGATGGGTATACATGCAGAAAACTTGATCGTTCAGTCACAACAAGAAGCCTTTTCGTTTATAAAGTCAACCCAAGTCGCTCACTCTACATATCTCTTATTCCGGCCACCACAAAGACCGAACAACATTGGACTAATTTTCTCTTCAAAAAGTAATTACTCTGGATATGATGGGCGGCTGCAATTCGCAACGTAAATAGATAAATGATAATAAATCATAACATGCATGGAACCGGTTCATCTCTTCGTGGGAATTAGTCGCAGTTAAGTGGAGTAGCGAAGTAAACAACGAATGCAAATGCATCGTTTGCATGGATAGTGCCTAGAAAGAGGCGGTCAGCTGCTGAACTCAAAGCAAGCGGTTACCATGCTAGGCAAGCGTGTTCACCGTGAGATGACTGCTTAGCCAATAATCATTCAGACAAGACCCATTTAAAGAGAAAAAGGGCATCCAAATACTGAGAAGTCCTCTACATTCTGTATTGGGGGCAAGGTGAAGGTGACAAATTATTGTCAACCCAATCGACAAATGAATCATCACACAGACATCAATCGGACCGCACAATGTTGAGGGTTTTATGCAGCACGTGATCGCTATCCTCAATTGGTCCCTATTTATCGGCCTCCCTTCGCTGTAATCCATATCCGTATGATCAAAAAAAAAGTAAAACTAAGGAAAACTGACCAATCCTATGATCGTTGGGCAGGTAGATCTCCGTAACAATACACCGCACTCTGTAACGCGAAGTTCAAGGGGATGGTTCTGTGTTGTGCATGTGTGCATTTCAAACACATTACACGTAAGATCCATAACTCGAAATCACAGTTTTTCGAATGTCTGAAAGATTGCGCGTCCATATGGTTCGCCGTACGCAGTATACCAAACTAATGGGGGATTCGGCTGTTGCAGACAAGCAAAACAAGAACACGGAGAACGAGATGGGGACAGTTGGGCATTGGAGGCTATGGCCAGACGGGTCCACCGAAGTATAATGGTTGTATATATCTTGCGTTACAGAGGAGCATGATGCTAGTGTCAGTAAAGTAACAGAACTCTATTAGGGGTGGCGGCTCTGTCTGTTGCAGACATTTCGCCCTTCATCACTAAAACAAATTCTACAGACAAGCAAAGAAATACGATGGCATGGACTTACACAGTACAAGATTGACGACAGCAAACACAAGTATGTAGACAGAATACAAGGATAGGGAGTAGATAAACAGGACAAAGAAGCGGTAGTTTCTGCGCCCAATACAGTTTCCGACCCAAGGACAGTGATGATCAAACCGATCTAAAAGGAACACAAGAGGTAACGTTAAGCCGGTAGTGGGAACGGTGCTTGTATGCCAGTGGAGCTTCGAAGAGCGCAAAAGCTGGGAAATATTCTTCAGTATATGAAAGAAAAACAGTCAATTGTTGAGACAACACGAAGGAATCCGAGGTATTAGAAGTAAGTATGCGTCTCGGCAGTGCCTCAGTGGGCGAAAAGATACATGAAAAAGAGAACCGTACAAATGCTAAATGTGGTGCGCCAAACACAGAAACACCGGCTTCATAGTTCACCACAATGAAACTTTGTGTCGAAATCTTGTTCTCAGCAAACCCAATAGCCACAAAAGTGCTGGACAACGAGAGAATCTACCCTGATAAAATGGATGTACATTCAGACAGCCCGCTATTTTACTCAGTATAGGCGATACACACACTTGATTCGAGTATTTAGTTACCCTACATTACATCGGCTATCTCCGCACCTTGAGTGCCTCAAATCGTAGCTGTCCAAGAACAGTCGTTGGCTGCAAGGCTGTCACAGATATCGATCAAGTGGCTCGGTCGTGGACAGCCTGGAGACCCATACGTTCAACATTAACCTTAACAGTACCGATCCGGGTTTCCAGCTGACTGCTTAGACGACGCCATCGTTGGCGCGATTTAGTGGCGAGAACAGCTCTGAACATGTACGGGTCCAAACAATCAGAATCGACGTTGTCGGCTAAGCTGTTCAAGTCGAGATTTTCAAACCCCGACATCGGACTCCTTGAAGCGACACACGATTCTGGAACCGTACAATAAAGACCAATGGTAAACAAAATGTCCATGTTGCGAGTGTCTACGATTCACATCGGCTAGATCTCGTGAGCATAAAGTAAAACGGGCTGGATGACAGACTGATGAATACAGATTTCATCTTCAGGTTGGTTTCTTACCTTTACAATAGTATACGGTTCACTCAGGAACGCTAAACAACCATTGTTCAAGAGAACTGCAACTTTGTCCTTAGGCTGGTCGTTCGGGAGAATGGTTGAGTCGGAGTGTCTGAACTCACGAACAATCTCTAGTGCCACTAAGTTTTTGTAAATGATACCAAAGAGTTAGGTGCTGTGGGAGCTCTGTTTGTGTGACCTTCATCTCAATACGAACGGAAGAAGCATACTATCGGACCCTATTGAGGGCTTGCTGTAACCTGTGATCTGCAACGAAGACAACTGTCATTCGCGAAATCAAGATACAATGTCCACGCATTCTAACGATTCTCCGGTCCACAACGTTCGTCGATTGGTTGTTGCGTTATCCAATCAACCGCAAAATCAAGCAGCACGGGAGAAGTCGAACAGGTCTGTAAAACCCAAAACGACAAGCCGGAATGTGACCAATATTCACCGTACAAATCGCTAGGGGAACATACTCTCGTGGTTGCGTATTGAAATTTCAGAAACCTGTCTAACTTCGCAGGGATAAGGTCTGATTCTGATATGTTCCACAATGTCTCTAGGTTCACAGTGTCGAGCACCTCCCGGAAATCGATGAAGCGGGTAGCAGTTAGCTGCTAACATCTGCGGTGTTGTTATTCTAGACCAAAGCGAAGAATGAGGACTTGGTCGGTGCAATCTTCCTCTGGACGAAAACCTGTCTGATTTGGTCAGCTGCATGAGTGTCTTTCGCTAGCCAAGCGATGCGTAAGGATGACCAGTACTCTAGAAGCTACATCCGATAAGCTTATCCACAGCAGTTGTTACAAACGGATTTATCACGCTTTGTGGTAATGTAGAATGATAGAGAAGTAACAGGACAGAAACACTTTGCTATCCCAGACTAAACACAGTAGCTTACGGAGTAATCCGGAAAGCACGATAGTGTGTGCCTTATATATCACTACAGGGATGTACCTTCAACAAGGCCTTTGAGGTTTCCCAGCCTAATGATGACCTTGGTTAGTCCTCCTTTCGTTAGAGAGCCATAGCCAGTGTCACATGACAAAAGGGACTCAATGGTAAAGCGAATGTGCGTGCATGCAATTGAGGAATTATGTAGAATGTTCTTTTCAAGGGGGAAGTTCACCGCTGGTATCGGAAATTATTCCGCCAGATGTGGTACATGTGTTGTGCGGAATTGCACGGAATCTTGTGGTAGAAAGCGAAATAAATGAGCATAATCACCTAGATTCGACGCAGCTTCCATACCCAGCCTGTTCGTCCACTAGAGATCGCGGGCATTCTTTGAAGGCTTATCGGCTTGGAGACCAACAGTGCGGTAGTTTGGCCCATCTGACAATCTTATCTCCTTAGTTTGACCTGAAAACCGAATAATGCACTCTGAGATTCGGCTAATCTGTGGGCTTGGAATGGTTCCTACACACGACTATTGTGTGCTAATATCATAAAGCGCTACAGAGTATGCATCGAGTTATCGACGGATGGCGCCAGATGAAACTGTTACCAGCTTCACAGTCAGGCAGGAAACCATACATTCGAGGAATATGGCGCACTGGCGTGTCGCACGGGTCGGTACGGACACTAGCTAACAGCAACTACGGTGTTTTGTCAACAGCTGCTTATAGCACATGAAAAAGGTGTTTGATGTGATGCTAGATACCGAGTTTTGGCTCGTAAACGGCTACAACAATGCTGTTGAATTTTGAGGTTTAGAACCTTGGCGGTGCAATCCTGAAATTGATTGATTCGAATGCCACCAGCCCGTCTTGAGCCAGACCATTATATACATAGGCTATACTATACTGACAGGTAAACGAGGCGAAGACAATACACACATTCGTCATATCAACTGTAAACCACCTACCGACACAATTGTCACAAGTGGAACAATGAGAAGCTCGAGGAGGACGGAAGAACCGACAACTATGGCAAAAATTCAACCGCATCAAATGATCACGGATCAGCACTTGACGAGTGCGAGCACCGGGCGCATAACTTCGAACAACCGAATTCGCACTATCATTGAGAGGGAAATTGCCCGTTCCGTCGACCTGGAAATCTCCCGTCGCTGCATTACGGAAGATGGTAGACGAAGAAGGAAGGAAAATAGACGCTAAGAAACTGGAAATAATGAACGGCGGAAAGTATGCATTGAGTTTGCACAATTGAGAGTTTCTAAAATGAACAGTGAACAAATGCATTCAATCATCCAACGAAACGCACTGGGTAACACAAGGAATTAGCGGAAGTATTTATATAAGATTAGAGGCGGAGTTGCGAGAGGGTGGGAACTCAATTGGTTGGAACCATGGTGCTGAAGCTTATCAACGGTAGCAGATGTCTTCTGCTGTATCAACAGAATCGCACTGAGAAAAAAATATCTTGACCTCTCAAGCGAAACGAGATTTTTGCAAAACTAGCTCGCCTGGATTTCGTCTGTGGTTCCACCATGTATAGTTAGATTAATCTACGCCAAATAGTTGGGAAGCTAAGTGAGAGTCATCGCCAGTGAGCATCTCATGCATTCTGAGGCGACCGCAAACCACAACCTGCTAGACAGGGATTGGTCATTGCAATTGGATGGTCAGCTTGAACTGGAACAGGATGAAGTGCCAAAAATACTATGATAACGCGAGTTCATATCATATGGCCTATTACCAAGTGGGCCCATGGCTTCTCAGGTCCAGTGGTGTTTATCGTGTGAGCATATTACTAGTGTTTTGTAAGTAGCAGGGATATCTTGAAGTTTCGATTACAGGTTTTGGACCACGTGGAACTGAGCCCCAGTAACGGCCCAACCACGGTAGTCCTTCGGTCCTCTAGTGAATCCTTATTTTGTGCGATGAACTCAGAATCTCTTTGCTGATAAGACCCACTACAAAACCGTTGAGCACGACCAGTGCTTAGTTATGCTCCAATTGCCACAGTCTAATTGGTGAGTTACATCGTTCGCTACGAGTAAACATGTGGCCAAATTCCAAATCGAACAAATTCGACCTTCGTTACAGTTGTAGTCGATCACTCAGTGGCACGTGGTACGAATAATGACGACTGTAAGTTACAAACAGCACATTTGGGCCCGCGTTCACCAATGAAAGATCAATCAGCACAGTAAACGCATGAAAGTAGCAAACAATGAGGCGTTTATGAATCCGAGTTGTCTTCATGTTTCTTAAACTGTCTGGGAATCCGCCGGGAAGAAGTAACTCATGATGAACGAAAAGTGAGCCCTTATACTATTGGTGGATAGGGACAGGTATCTAAAGGCTTGCATAGTAACAATGTTGAACAGAATTTCGATCCTAAAATCAGGGTAAAGCAACCGTGCAGCAGCACCTGTTTTTGGAATTTTCGATTTAATGTGTCTATGGTCAGTTCGTTCGCGTATGAAGTAGTTGGCGGTATGTCATTCATTCAGTGTGGCAACTGAGGTGGGCAGAGGAGCCAGATATGTTAAGGAATGTACTAGCCGTTTTAAAAATGGTGATCTCGCGATCGTCCCATCAGAACGACCAGATGAGCAAACAAGTAAAACACTTCAAGGCAAACAGATGCGACATTAGAGCTCACAGGCAATAGCAGTTTAAGACGAAAACTCCACTGAACGTACCTATGGAGATCTTTATCCATTCGGCTTCGGCTTCGGTCGCTCGTGGAATAATACCCGGATCGGTGAATGCGGTACGCAGAAACGTGAGAAGGACGTAGAGAAACAGAACGACCGCAAAAAGCGGCAGAGCAGGGGAGAGAACCGGAGTAAGCATACGCACTTCGAACGCGAAGAACAAGGCGGTAACGACGATTATTAGAAAAAGGCTCAAATAAAATACGGACATTTCGCGAGAATGAACTCCACGTCCGCGGCAGCAGAAACGGTTTTTGCCCATGTGCACACGGTAATACGGAGTAGGCACGGCATGTCGCACCTCACATATTGTGGCTGAGGTAACTTCTGGAGAGTTATACATCATTAGGATTATGGAAGGGGTGACATGATCTCTCGGGAATCCTGTTCTACCATGGATCCTGTAAAAACATGGGAAATAGTATATGCGTCTGAATTTGACTGGGGTGTAATCTAATATACTGACCAACATACCGCGATAAGGTCAAAATCAGTTCTTAGAAAAAGTCTAAACCCACTAACCCTAGATATACCTGCTGTCCACGAACAGCCTCTCATGCCAAGGTCTCATAATAGTAAACCTGTTCCGACGAAATGGGTTCAACAGTCAACCGATAGGAGAGTCCGCTAGGGAAATAATCAAAGGTCTGTCACATCATCAGACTACGAAGTTAGCGGTGCAGCATTCAGAATGAACGGGTTTACCTGTAGGATTCTACGACTTTTGGATCAGCAAATGGGTCAGGAAGTGTGTTGAACATAACAACCAGGAGTCTGTTCGCTATTGAGTGCGTGACTAGAACATGATTGGTAATGTTCACAATCCTTAGTGTGCCTCGTGAAGCTCGAAATGGTTGAGGTTAAGGCACCGATTAAATGACCGGAAGGTCCACGGTTTGAACCCGAATTCGACACTTCCACTACTACTGCCTAGACCTGGGAAACCTGGCAGTATCATAGGCCTCGTGTTTCCTTCGGGTGGCATGACGGCTAGGCGGCATTACAGCTGAACGAGTGCGTCAAGTAGTAGGGTCCACATCTTAGAGAGCAACAATAACTTTGTATGTTGTGGGGTTTGCGGGATGTGCATTGCTCACATTCACATCACACTCGTTTGAACAGTCGTCCTCCTGTCCTAGCGCAATTATTCTGGGGGGAAGCACTGGACTCGAGTTTCGCTGTTATTAGAGCTCATCAGTAGTGCGGGAGTCGAACTGAGGACGTCAAAATACCTTCAGCTTTTTTACCATCGATGTCTTCGGAGCATTGCCCAGGTCTGGTGGGAACATCAGCTCAGTAATGCTGAAGTGCGTCGAATGGTGCTCGGAAACAACTCGCCCATGACAGATGGACTGGATAAAATCCTCAGGTTGCGCGGGCTTAGTCACGTGCTCCGTTTGCCAGTTGACCGAGTTCCTTGAACGGCTCTTTCCTCACAGACACGTGAAGAGTGGGAACGAGTCAGGAGAGGTCAAACAATGGACTGAACAGTGAAGTATGAAAGCAATTACTACCAAACTCAGATGCACTACTCATTGCCATCTACCTGGATGGGGCCATGAGACGGGACATTGTCCAAAATGGCCAGTCCGCGGCAGCAGAAACGGTTTTTGCCCATGTGCACACGGTAATACGGAGTAGGCACGGCATGTCGCACCTCACATATTGTGGCTGAGGTAACTTCTGGAGAGTTATACATCATTAGGATTATGGAAGGGGTGACATGATCTCTCGGGAATCCTGTTCTACCATGGATCCTGTAAAAACATGGGAAATAGTATATGCGTCTGAATTTGACTGGGGTGTAATCTAATATACTGACCAACATACCGCGATAAGGTCAAAATCAGTTCTTAGAAAAAGTCTAAACCCACTAACCCTAGATATACCTGCTGTCCACGAACAGCCTCTCATGCCAAGGTCTCATAATAGTAAACCTGTTCCGACGAAATGGGTTCAACAGTCAACCGATAGGAGAGTCCGCTAGGGAAATAATCAAAGGTCTGTCACATCATCAGACTACGAAGTTAGCGGTGCAGCATTCAGAATGAACGGGTTTACCTGTAGGATTCTACGACTTTTGGATCAGCAAATGGGTCAGGAAGTGTGTTGAACATAACAACCAGGAGTCTGTTCGCTATTGAGTGCGTGACTAGAACATGATTGGTAATGTTCACAATCCTTAGTGTGCCTCGTGAAGCTCGAAATGGTTGAGGTTAAGGCACCGATTAAATGACCGGAAGGTCCACGGTTTGAACCCGAATTCGACACTTCCACTACTACTGCCTAGACCTGGGAAACCTGGCAGTATCATAGGCCTCGTGTTTCCTTCGGGTAGCATGACGGCTAGGCGGCATTACAGCTGAACGAGTGCGTCAAGTAGTAGGGTCCACATCTTAGAGAGCAACAATAACTTTGTATGTTGTGGGGTTTGCGGGATGTGCATTGCTCACATTCACATCACACTCGTTTGAACAGTCGTCCTCCTGTCCTAGCGCAATTATTCTGGGGGGAAGCACTGGACTCGAGTTTCGCTGTTATTAGAGCTCATCAGTAGTGCGGGAGTCGAACTGAGGACGTCAAAATACCTTCAGCTTTTTTACCATCGATGTCTTCGGAGCATTGCCCAGGTCTGGTGGGAACATCAGCTCAGTAATGCTGAAGTGCGTCGAATGGTGCTCGGAAACAACTCGCCCATGACAGATGGACTGGATAAAATCCTCAGGTTGCGCGGGCTTAGTCACGTGCTCCGTTTGCCAGTTGACCGAGTTCCTTGAACGGCTCTTTCCTCACAGACACGTGAAGAGTGGGAACGAGTCAGGAGAGGTCAAACAATGGACTGAACAGTGAAGTATGAAAGCAATTACTACCAAACTCAGATGCACTACTCATTGCCATCTACCTGGATGGGGCCATGAGACGGGACATTGTCCAAAATGGCCAAGTCGCGCCCTCAATGGCACTCCTGCATCAGAGCTATTGCCTTCAATCCATAAATTCTCTCCCAATCTTCCTAATTAAAACTCCACAGACCACCTTGCATTTACCCGTCAATTATATTAACTACCACCTTTAGTGCACAGCTATCTGTTTCACCTCCCCGAATCATCGGTAAACGAAACTGTGGTAGCTATAGCCACTGTACGGCAAGTACGCGATTGCTACAGTTGATGATGTTGATCGCAAGTTTCCGTGTTCTGTGGGAACAGCCTTGTTGTATCTCCTGTCACACCGTTGTTCGTCGCCACTCTGTAAGCAGCGTCCATCCTGCAAACCTAGCTGCTAACCAAATGACCAAGACTGCCCACTAAAGTACAGACTAATAGGGATAGACCTAATATTGAATCAAAAGAAGATGGCTAAGATGTGAAATTATAGAGGTGGGGCGGGATAGCTCAATGGTTACTGATCAGAAGGTCCGTGGTTCAAATCCGACCTCTGCTTCTTGAGTTATTCTATCTAGGCTTGAGCAACCTGGCAGTATCCCAGCCCTCGTGGTCCCTTCTGGTTGCACGGCGGTTGGGCACCGAAAGGGTGCTACAGCTGAACGATATAGAGGTGGGGACCCCTGGGTTTCCGATTGCTCCTGTTTAGGCCCGGGCAACCTGACAGAACCTAAACGTGGGCCGAAAAGGATGCGGCAGCCTCCCTCCTTCCGCTTACGCACATTATTCCCCCCACCCCATTGTTAAATCTTTCTTTTAGGACCATCAGTTAGCACTGACGACCCCGTTCGCCTTGTATAGATTTTGGCCGCAACACCTGCGCGTCGGCGAGCGCTGACAGCATCAGTCATCTCAAAACCAATCTCCAAGCGTTGACACCGTCTACCTGATCGCTTTCAATGGGCGAAGCAAGCAGGACAAGTTTCTCTTGCTCTCACACTGAACTCGCTTGACATAGGTGTACTGTGTACCAGTTGAACACTGATGTCATACTGTCAATGATGATGATGATGACTGTGTACCAGAAACAGGGATTAAAGATGCAAGCATAGGGGTTGAGCCAACTGTCCGATCACTCTCCACTCGCTTCCAGCTGCGCAGCTCTGGTGGTTTAGAGACCACTGTAGCATAATACGCAGGGGTCGATATCGTCCTTTCATCGGGCTGAAGGATTTGTTTGACTGAATAGCCGTTAATGGTCGTTTCTGTGTGATTTGTCCGGCAACGTCAGTGAAGGAGTCTCACGAGCGGGGAATCTGACTGTTGTCCGTCATGCCTGTTTATGCTCCAACTGACAATAGCTGACAATATCAAAGACAAGTTCTTAAAGCCTTAAGTGCCCTGTTACAGCGGGCTAAATTATCAGTTATCGTTATGGTTGCCGGAGATCTGAATGTAAAAATAGGCAGGCCTAATGCATCTGAGAAAAAATTAAATGGTTGACATGGAATGGGCTCAGTAACTACGGACAGTGGTAAACGATCGCTACAGCTATGCGCCGACTGTAGACTGCTTTTATGCATTACTAACTTCCGAAATGTTCCACGGGCCACATGGTATCCTCCAACGACACGCCAGCCAGGGCCCCAAATGGATCACACGGCCGTCAGTTGCCGATGGCGCGGATCAGCAACCGAGTGCTGCTCGTTTTGGAATACACTTGTGGATTCCGACTATATGCTCATCGGAATTCGCTTCTCTCTTCGTTGGCCGCATAAGGTGTGGATATGTCGCTCAGCAACTGAGGGACTGGTAGATCCCGAAGTTAGACGAATTCATCAGAATTGTTATCTGGACTCCCTTGCAACTGCTCCATCGTCCAATGTGAACTCGTGTCACAACTTTACATAGTGCCGATAGTTTGCCTAAGCTACGGCACTACCAGGTCTACTCATGCACTGGACATCAGACAGAACAGTGACTCTACTTCAATCTCCGCCAGCCCCGAACATTATTTGGCCCGACGAATTAACGGACGGCAAGTCAGTGTGTGCGTCAAAACACAAAGTGTAAAGTCATGCTTCCGATAGTAGTGCGACAAGTGAACTCAATCCACGACTATCCAAGGCTCGGGTAGCCCATGCTGATTTGAGACACCTGTGACAGCAGAGCTGTATACAACTAAATCTCAAGCGTATGTGAATCGGCCTATAAAGTGGACTGTTTTGTTGTATGGCTGATACGGACCAAGCCGGCCTCTACAACCAAGTAGGCTAGACTATTGAGTCACTGGCTCCGGAGAAGGGACCCCAAGAAAACTCTAACAAACGTTGTCTCGCGGTCCAGACTTTTAAGTCAGAGGCTAGGGGTAGAGCCTCTGGGCAAAACCCTCATACTCCCACTGCCTTGGGTCGGACTTTTGAGTCAAAGGCTCAAGGTGGTGTACCTCAACTAAACCCCCTTCTTCGGCCTGGGCATTAAGCGTTCAGCTGTATCACCCTTCTGGTGCCTAGCTGCCATGCCACCCGAAGGAAGCACGAGGGCTGGGATACTGCCAGGTTGCCCAAGCCTAGACAGGGGAAGTCGAGTGGCGGAGGTCAGATTCGAATCACGGACCTTCCGGTTAGTAAATTCACGCTCTAACCACTTGAACCATCTCGCCCCCCTTCGGCCTGGGCAACCAAGAAGTATCACTTACCCTTGCAGCTCTTCGCTCACTGGCCTTTCTCCTCATTCCCTCCAAACCTACCGTACAATGCAGTGCAACCAACCCATCAGCCAATCCCCTAACCACTAAATCAACAATGGATATCGTCGAGATCAGCAAATCTTACTGCTGCCAGAAGGGTCATACCAGCAACTAGCGACTATGATGG